GGGCCCGGGAGACTAATCAGAGGGATGGGAATACATGTAATTCAATTTAATAATAATACATTTAATTTGATTTTGTAGGTGACAGTATGTTACACACAGACTATCCCCCTAGATTTAGTCTCTTTGGAATGTACTTCTCCACACCGGACAGGGATAACGACAAGTCGGGAGGACACTGTGCTGCTGAGCATCAGGGGGGTTGGTGGTTTAATGATTGCTATCGGGCCTTCCTAAATGGCCCCTGGGGCCCAGGGGACTGGATGAGTCCGTGGGACCCCACAGTCCCATTTGTGACAGATATAAAAGAAACAGTGATGATGGTCAAGGCCTGCTAGATAAGTACAGTAAAACTTGTCTAATCTGAGTTTCGTTTTTTTTTTTTACGAAACCCTGTCTATTAACGTGTAAACACTTGCCAAAGATATGATCATTGTCATTTAAATTTGAATCCTTTCCTCTCCTTCCTTGTTGCCTAATAAGGTCGATTTTTTCGGAACCAGTGTTGTTCGGATTAAAAAGATGAAAGTGAAAGTTACAACGATTTTCTTAAAATAAATATTATGCCTTTTAGATATTGGAGTGTGAAGTGTTTGTTTTATCTTACTGTTTAGAATAGATGAAATTTATTTTTTTTTCTAAAAGTATTATTCATTTTTTTTTTCAACAGACAAGGAGGAAAAAAAAGGAAGCAGTTACAGATTCAATTCAAATGGTTTTCATCAATCCAACATGAAGTCTATTTTGATTATTATGATAATTTTTATCTGAGTAATGATTCATTTCTTACGTCGTTCTCTTTAGATTTGTACACAAAAACTATATTTTAAGAGTTTCGTATTTTTTTAATCTTTATACTATCTCCCTTATTGATTTGTATTGTAAAAATATCACATAAAAGATGTCTTTTGTGAATAAATTTGGAAATAAAGCAATATTTGTTATCTGAGGAAAAAACACAAACGTGTTCCTTCAAGTAATGATGATGAAAATTTACTTCATAATCTGATACGTGTCATTTTTTTTTTAAATTCCTTCGGACTAAGATTACTCAATTAATTGATTGAGTGATACGATTTGATTCTGAAAAGACTGAAGGAAAAAATTCTGTGGTTCCCGACATGATTTTATGTTTTACCGGGGTAAAACAGGGCCAGTCAATCTGGATGTCGAGGAAAACAAAAATAAAGAAGTTACACCAAACTACAATTCCTTAACAACAACGCAGAAATTGATTGCTAAAACATGTAAAGAAACAAATATTCCGAGAGTAACTGAAACAATGAATATTTAGAAATATTCGTAAGATTTATATTTTTCTTATATATATCCTATACCAAAATGTGTCTTTCCTTTTTTTAATACTGCGTTTATTTCGTGTTTTCCGCCATCCCCTTTTTTTGGAAAAGAAAAGGACAATGAAATATATTGGGATAATACGAAAGCCCAGAAGGCTCATTCGAGATTCAAGTTTCGAAATACGAGATTCAAATTCGAAATTCGAGTTACGAGATTCAAGATCCAGATTAACCAATCAAAAGACTCAATCAAGATTCGAGGTTCGAAGTACGAGATTCGAAATTCGAGTTTCAAGATTCAAAATCCAGATAAACCAATCAAATGCGGGTTCAACATTTGATAAAAAAAAACTTGAAAGGCAATGTAGTAAACATTGCCTTTCAAGTTTTCAAAGTTACATTTTCATTGTCGGGAAAAATTGGCAGGTATTGCGGGTAGGGGTGGGGATTTTGTTAATCTTAAGACACTATTTATAACTTCATTATTATGTCAACATCCCTTTGTTTAAAGTAGACAATGCCAAAATATATATATTACTGATATATATATTCTATTTAATATTTAAGAAGTCATAATATAAATTGAAGTATACCTTGCTGATCAAAAATCCAATTATTATTTAACTTTCTTTCTTATATATAACACTCTTTCTTGCATTGTAATTTAATCAAATGACTCATTTGTTATAAATATATTAAACGATTTATTGATAGATAAAACATAATAAAGGTGAGTAATCAAATGTTGAACCCGCATTTGATTGGTTAATCTGGATTTTGAATCTCGAAAATCGAATTTCGATTCTCGTATTTCGAATTCGAATGATCCTTTTGATTGGTTCATCTGGATCTTTAATCTCGAGACTCGAATTTCGAATCTCGAATTTTGAATCTCATATTTCGAAACTTGAATCTCGAATGAGCCTTCTGCGCTTTCATAGGATAACGACTGTACGAAAGCCCAGAAGGCTCATTCGAGATTCGAGTTACGAAATACAATATTCGAAATTAGAGATTCGAAATTCTAGATCCAAACTAGCCAATCAAAAGAGGGTTCACCATTTTATTACTCCCCTTTATTATGTTTTTACTATCAAGAAATCGTTGAATATATTTAGAATAAATGGTTCATTTGCTAAATGATATTGCAATAAAACGATACACGATAAAAATTGTTTTATGCATCAAAACGAAATAAATATAAAATTTGGATTACATTTTTTAAAAAAGATATAAAAATCCTATTTTTCTTATTAAACAAGACAGTAAATACGTATTTATAGAAAATTACATGGTCTTATCATTGACTTGCGGAATAAGTAGGTCGACTAATTTTTTAATTAGACCATTGACGAGGAAAAAAATATTATTAGATATGAAATGTTACGAATCGTCTTTACACTGCACAGTAAGGCAAGGGTATATATTTCATTACATTATAAAGGTTTACATTTGTGCAATTAGACTTGATTGCTGAATCGAATTGTACCGTTATAAGGTTTTATTAGTATATTTTTAGGCTTTTGGTTGGTCATTGTGAATCTTGAATCTCGTAACTCGAATTTCAAATCTCGAATTTTGAATTACGTATTTCGAAACTCGAATCTTGAATGAGACTTTTGAGCTTTCGTACGAATGTTATTCAAGTTCATAAGTTGAAAAGTTGCACTATTTTGTTTTTAATTTTCCATCTATACTTCCAGAAGTCTAGAGTACTTAAAGGTGTGTAAGAAAAGAAACTTTACCATTTTTTTTATTTACAATGAAGTGGCAAATCGTCTTCAATGTTATGATGACTTGTTTCAACGAACGGAAAAGCGTGTTCTTTGTAGCCGAGGTCACTATAGACTTGGCTAAGGCAATAAATCTTATCTGTAAAGATAGAAGTAACATACTTAATGTTTTCCTTTAGTTTTATAAAAGTATAATGAGTGAACAACTTTGAAAAATTTATCGTCAGATTCAAAACATCTTCGTCTGCACTCTATATATCATGTTAAACTGAAAAAAAATCTAAATGTGAACAGTGGTTGAAAAACAACTATTGCTATCAAAACTATTTTGTATCGTAGCGCCACGTTATTTATTTTTTATCATAGAGAAAGTATGTATTGTGACCTCACGTTTTTATTTACGAAAAGCTCAAGTTGGGTTTACGAAAATTTACACCCGACTATGTTACCAATTAAAGTTCGTGTTACAAGCTTCACAAGAAACAAGAATTCTGCTCTATTATTGCATAAGCAATACATGTCCTCTTGCTGGACCCCCTTTTCTCTTTAGGGTGTCATTTTATTAGACTATGTGTATAACAAAGCGCCACCAAAATATGGACATTTTGGTTATTACTTGTTTATGAATGAATTGTCTTGGAATTAATTCGATCTGCCTTACAAAGAAAGAAGACGTCTTTGAATGCCTTTTGACACACATGCATGCTTTAATCAGAACAGCTCAATTTACGTGGTTAGAAAAATTAATTTTACCAAAAAAAATCAAACTTGATCTATGGTTTGCAAGTAAAAGCTATCCAGGAAGTTTCAAATCATTACAATATCGTTTAGAAAATTAAATTACATCACGAACCATATCGTTAACCCAAATATAAAAAAAAAAATTAAAATGCCATTATTTTGTCAAAAACCAGTCAAGCGGAGCGAAATAAAAATTTAATCTATAATTAATCAAGGTAAAGTCACATAATTAAAATCAGATCAATACACTGTATCTGCGAGCGTTTAGATTGATTGATTGTATACTGTTTAACGTCCCTCTCCAGAATATTTCACTGATATGGAGACGTCACCATTGCCTGTGAAGGGCTGCAAATTTAGGCCTATGCTCGGCACTTACGGCCTTTGAGCAGGAAGGGATCTTCATCGTGCCACACCTGCCGTGACACGGGGCCTCGGTTTATAGGGTCTCATCCGAAGGACCGCCCCATTTAGTCGCCTTTTACGACAAGCAAGGGGGTACTGAGGACCTATTCTAACCCGGATCCCCACGGGACAAAAAGCGAAAAACAAAGTGGGACAGAATGGCAGACAGACATAGGGACAGACTGACAGACTAGGAGGAAACCATAGTCCCCTCCAATTTCACCGGTGGGGAATTAATAAGCAGGTTTACTTTAGCGACGATGCAGCTGTGATTATTACAATTCAGTGGTAATCTATGCGTACAAGTTAAACACTCCCATATGTATGAAATAGCTTTTTTGCAATATTTACAATATTGTGATACATGTAACTACTTTTTTTAGGAAATTATTCTCTTGAGTAGGTCAATTCTTTGACAGTTCTGCAAACATACTTTAAAAAACAGGTTTACGTACATTAATTGCTTCCTTGATGTTTTATGCAAATTTATCATGCTCAATGGCATTTCCAGAACAGGATTAAAAAAAAGGACGTAAATATACAGTGTAAGTATGTATTTAAAGTACTTCATTTTGTCAGAGATTTCAGTCGTGATTAAAATTCAGTATGGTTATAGACGTGTTTTTGTTCATGGCTTTCCTTAGCTTTTCCTTTTCATATGGTAATATTGTTTTTTTTTTCTCTTTTATCACATATTTTAAGAAAACGTATTAACTGATATCATAAAAAATGTAAATATCAGAAAATCTACTGATAATGAATGATTTTTTTCCATGTATACACTTTCTGAATTTTCATTTTGATTAAATCTATTTTTTTTTTAATTATGATAGAAAACCTATCATATCTGAAACCAACGTGGCAATCAACAACACATTTTGATATGGAAAGCCTTGGGTCGGATAAAGCTGTAGATGGCCTCAAATCCAACCTTTCTTGGTTTGGAAACCAGTGTGCTATATCATCCAACTCTAAAACATCGGCGACCTGGTGGGTTGACCTCCAAGGCATCCTTAGTATACATCACATCGTTATTTATTATAGAACAGACCATTTTCCATGGGGCAAGTATTTTACTTTGTTCCGTACAAATATAAATATACATGAGAAATTTAGCACTTACTATTCATAAATATAATACTGATTTTTGATTTAGTATATGAGATTTCTTGAGGCAAGATTTATTGCAATCTGAATTTTAATGTAGGCGGTTTAGATTTTTGATAGAATCTTTTATAAATGTTAATCTTAGTAACCATAGGAATTTCACTAACCAAATTAAAAAAAGGTTATAACCAAAGACTTTAACATTTATACAGTACCGACCAGACCCAACCGGACACCCACGCAGTCCCAGAAAGCAGTCCCCGGGACTACTTTGGGACCGCTCTGGGACTGCTCTGGGACCGCTAAGGGACTGCTCTGGGACTGCTCTAAAAAGCAGACCCAGCAGTCCCAGCTGTCTCTGGGACTGCTTTCTGGGACTGCTTTGTTCACTCATGTATGAAAAAGGTTCTGAGTGACATGATAGATCCGCCCCCTTGTGTATTCTGAATTTGCGGACTCCCAGTTGTTTTGTTTACTAGCAGCAGAGAGGAGTTTAAACTATTAAAAATGCAAGGATTTCTTACAATCTTTTGATAAGAAGAGATTATTATGGTTAATTAATATTTTCAGAGACTGTATATTTACACAAATGTAGTTTAGAATATTTTTTTTAAATAAAGTTGTTCAATAAGGAAGTCAAGAAAAGATTTTTATCCTTAAAAATAAACTACAGGTTTATGAACAAAAATATCTACATGAAGGCCTTTTTTTATTAATGTAAAATTATGTGCACTCAAAATTTGCATTGGCACTATTTAAAAATAATCATTACAGTTAGACATAAGATTTTTAATTGAAAAGCTACATGTTTTACGAGTACCACGCTAAAAAAAAGTATTCCATGCAACCTCTAAATAAAGTCTACAAAAAATATAATTATTTATAAAATGACCCTGAAATAAAATTATGCTACAATGTACCATTCTTCCGTAACTTAAACAATGTAAAACAATGTGAATAATTATTGGGGAATTTATCGACGAATTACCGGTAGTTTTTAATCTATAAACAAATTATCAAAAGAGTACATTTATTTTATAAATAAACAGTTGAAAATATCGGGATTTGTGATTTATTCCTTTATTTTTTTGTTTTGCTTATGTTTACCTGGCCGAGTAATTTTATAAAATGGTATCAACATCTGTGTTTTCAATCGCCTTAGGGCAGAAAATCAGTGCATGTTATTTGGGTATACGTATCAGCGTTTCACATCATTGAACATGCTGGTCAACAATGACCCCAATTTCAATCTACCGGTATGTAACGCACAAATAAAATTTATAAATGAAATGTGTATGATTTCTTTCAGGATTAATTAATTTTGAACGTAATCTGAGGGTTCCATTCTGGTGATTTACAGATGTACATTCTAACATTTACAAATAAAACACTTAAAACTGAGTATTTTTCAGATAGAGAAATTAACAATGAATAAAATGGCATTCAGTAAAAATAATCATGACTGAAAAATAATACTTGGCAAAATTTAATGAAGAATTTCTAAAAGCCCCAATACTTAAGAAAATTCCTTTTGAGTATCCCGATAGCATGGAAATTGGCCATGTAACGATAAGATCTATTTAAAACTAATTCTTACTGGTGGAAAATAATTAATTCACGTATAATTTTCTGCATAAAAAATAAATATGGGAAACAGTATCAATCACAGTAAATTAAGGAAATGAATTATTAATATACCCGAAACATGTAATTGTGATTAAATATTCATGTTCAGTTTAATTCATACATGCACGTGTGAAAGCCTTCTTCCTTCAATAAATATTATTTCAATTTGTTTCTATGCGCATATTATTCATAAATGACCGCATACAAGTAAGGATTCCTGGCATACTACCCAGAATCAATTTCTACTGCTTTTATAGTTCCATTGTTTATTGCAAATCTCATATCTGAGTTAGCTCCGCCCATTAAATTAATAAACCCCGCCCACTGGGACTGCTGGAACTGCTCTCTGGTACCGCTGGGACTGCTGGGACCGCTCTGGGACTGCTGTGGGACTGCTCTGGGTCCGCTCTAGGACTGCTCTGGGACTGCTGTGGGACTGCTTTAGCAGTCCCAGAAAGCTGTCCCCGGGACTGCTCTGGGACTGCTTAGTGTCAGGTTGGGTCTGGTCGGTACTGTAAGAATTGTTTTCAATAAGTTTTAGTTTTCTACAAAGATTCCGTTAATTTAATTTCTACGGTAAATAAAAAAAAAACCAAAAAAAAAAAAACAAACAAAAAACAAAAACAAACAAACAAACAAACAATTAAAAAAAAATAAACAAAAACAAAAACAAAAACAAACAAGACCAGGGAAAATGTCTGTTTATATACGATAGAAAACTTGTAAAGAAAATAATTTCAGCTTTTACCTGTGGAGTTTTTTTTCTGGATTCTTTTTTTCAATACATAGGAAATTCTTTAATTCAATTATGATCGGAATTTTAGATTTTGAAAAATAAAGATGTAAAATTAACTAAATGATTTAAAAAATACATAATCAAAACTTCAAGCACTTAAAGTGTTGATCGTAATAGTCTCGATTTCCTTGATTTGTAGCGGACACGGATATTGCAAAAAAAAAAAAAAGATGAAAAAGTAAAACTTAATGTAATGAATAAAAAAAATACACAAATATTTAGGCAAAGGTTCAAGCACTTAACGTGTTGATCTTAAGAGCCTCATTTCCCGTAATTTGCAGTGTACAAGAATACTGATAAAAATGTTCTTAACTAATTTCAGATGTTGATAATGAATTTAAACGACGATTTTTGGGATTCTCAGTTTATATTTCAAATACACGATATAAAGAGAATGGGACCTTGTGCTTTCACGACAACGAGTATAATATGTCAACGATTCCAGCTGTTGTCAATATTTCTTGTACAGTACATGGAAGATATGTCATATATTATAATGAAAGAAATCCATCAAAAGATTATCCACAGAATTATTCGGAAACGGCTTATAGTGAGTTATGTGAAGTTGAAGTTTACGGTAAGAACTGACAAAATTCATTTGTAATTATTATATACTAAAAATAGTTGTCTACATAAATAAAACAACTTTAATGACAGAAGCTTTTAACAAAAGATTGTTTCTATTAGACCCAAGATAGAAAGCGAACCATGGGTATAAGGCATATAATTTGCTGGAGGAGAATCTTTTTCAAATAAAAATTACATTCGTTTAGTTAATTTCGTTAGATATGATGATTTTAAAAGGATGTGTAAAATTTATTCCCGTAAAATTTTATATACTCGACGTTTGGTACCAAAAGTATGAATTTCACAAAGAACGTGACAGGTGCATCTTTTTACAGGATGTCCTTTTGAAGGTTATTATGGTTCAAATTGTGAATTTCCTTGCATAGACAATTGCCGACAGTGTGATATAGAAACAGGTGAATGCCTCCAATGCATGGCGGGATACGAAGGAGTGAACTGCAAAATGCGTAAGACTTTATAATCTAAAAAAAAATAACTGTTTTGTCTGATATATATATAGAATATTTACGGTTATGATATGTAATCTTGTCGCAAATTTGGAAACCATTCATTACTAAGATTATTTTTTTATTTAATGAAATTATATTATCATGATGCTGACCATTTCATGATATTTCCTTGACTCAGGACAAAATATCGTTTTCCTTATTTAGAAAGCGTCAGAAAATCGTGTATATCCCACTCGAAGGAAAATATATAACATGTTAATCAAAAACAATAACATAAACGTATTCCTAGCCTTGATGATATATCTTTTGTTCAAATTATTAGACGAGAAACCTTCCAAATATCAAAGGGAAGGAGGAATGTTTAAGGGTTGTCGGATTAAAGGCCTAGAAAAGTTGGCACGAGTAAAATTTATCCACTCTTCGCTCTAAAATTTTTACTGCACGTTGTATATTCAGCATTATTAGAAAAGGTTGAAATTTCATACGTGTACGGGTAAGTCTAGTGGGGGAAATACTGAAATTCCTGTAGTATTACATCATCAATTTTAGTGATAACGAGTAATACTGAATCTACACGTAAAAGAAAATTCGTAGCATGCTAAATGATAAAAAAAATATATCCATTTCATGTATGAAAATTTTGTTGGTAAACATTATTTAAAATGTTTAGTTTCATAAGCACGTATTTAAATCATATTTTGTTAACTACGTAAAATCAAACTGACGTTACAAACGCGGTGTACACGTACATGCTACAAGTATTAAAATCTCAGCAGACAAATTACAAAAAACGTGTATTCAAAGTATGTGCACAGTTAATGATCTCAATCTCTCTAATATTGGGCAAACTCCTAACTACTATGCATGCATGCTCAAATAAACATTTTCTTTTAATTTTTTGAAATTATTTGTAGAACAAAACATGATGTATGGTGTATTATACAACATCTTGTAAACGAACATCGTCTCAAGCCACGGTTCGGAGTCCGCATATAGCTATCTCCTACCCGTGGCTGCTTGATCACAAAAAAGTGTCGTAATCTTGAATATTTACGCCTCTCTATTGTGACGTCATATTCAGTCAGTGGCAAGTTTTGTTTCCATCGCAATTTGAAATCAACAACTGACGTAAACAGTATACAAGAAATATTTCCTTTACTGCGATTGGATATTGAAAGGTCGCGATAAAGTTCGTCTTCCGACTATGCTTTACTCGCTTTGGTCAACACTTTTATGAGCTACGAACAATTCTCTCCTCGTTCAACCACGGCCAGAATGGGAGAGGATCGTACATTTTGGCCGTGGTTTGGGACGATGGTAAACGAAAAAATAAAAGGATTCGTAACAATTTCGATTAGTCCCTAGAAGGGTTTCTTAATGCCAGAACTGATGAAAAAAAGTCTTCGGTATTGTTTTGCATTTCCTTTCCATTTAACTGTTAAAGAATTTTTCAACGCACTGACTGCAATCGTGTTAAGGAATATCTGATTTAGACAAATTCAATCCCAGAGCATTTAAATTTGTGGGAACAACGTAAAACGATATGTTAAGCTGAATTTCTTTTTTACCGAGACAGACAAGCAAAAAACAAATGTAAACAGTCATCTCTTTTATTACATTTTGCAAGCAGCAAAAAACACCCCCCTTTCCCTTCAAATACAACAAATAATGCTTAACAAAAATGGACTGACAAACGTTTTGACCCAACAAATGCCTTCGACTTTTTTTTTCCTGGAGGTAGAAGACTTGTTATCGGGGATGATTTCGTATCAGCTGATTATAATGACACTCCTGGTTGCTTGCAATGACAGTTATTCTAGTTTTACTTAATGTTGAACTTCCGTACATTTTCTACCTGTAGTTATATTTTGTAATAAAGTGTATATCTTGAAATTTTTAGGGAATTTAGCATATAAACATCCGGCTTGGCAAAAAACAAGTTATTCGCCTATCTTCGGAGCAGAGAAAGCAGTGGATGGATTGAAATCTGACTTCACTCCACATGGACAACAATGTAGTATATCTGCCCCAAGCCAAACGATAGCTTTGTGGCGAGTCAATCTTCTTGCAAACAAGTTCGTTCACCACATCCTTATATACTACAGAACAGATGGCATTCCTTGGGGTATTTTTTCAATGCTTGATCAAGATCACTTTCTAAATATCTTTCACATGTATTCTTTCTTTGCCAAAAAAATATTATTTTTCACATTTTAATCTAGCATTACTGTTAAGCATCGTTTTCAACGTATTTGCGATTGTATTTAAATGCATATTCCCTTTCAATGTAAGTTTTTTTCTTCTAATATTTGAAAAAAATAGCAAGGTAGAAGTCAATTAAAACAAGCACTGTTTTATAACTGAGTTTGTTTCAATACCCATATGGAAATGACAGATTAAAATCTGATTTATTGTAGATGAAAATAATATTTACGCTGGAAGATTTCTTGGATTCTCCGTCTATATATCAGAAACAGAGAGTAAAGATAATGGCAGTTTATGTTTCCATGACACCGAGTACAACATGACAACAATACCAGCTGTCGTTAACATCACGTGCCAGTTATACGGCCAGTATGTTATTTATTATAACGCAAGGAAACCCGACGAAGAATACCCACCTGGTTATTCTCAGTATGCCTACAGTGAGCTCTGCGAAGTTGAAGTTTATGGTAAAATTCATCATTCATTTAGTTAACATACTAAAAGAATGAAACAGGAAAAAATTAAAAGATTGAAAGTACTTTACAAAGATTTTTGTAAAATACATGGAATAATAAATGCATATTCATATTATAAAATTAAATGCTTCAGCATAACTTTTGTAGAATATACGTGTTTAACAGAGATTTGCAAAATTCTTGACTATCTTAAATTATTTGTTTTTGTTCCTATTGAATGCACTTTGTACTGACTTTTGAAACTTCATAGGATGCGCATTAGGATATTATGGATCTAACTGTTCACTCAGATGTCCCATGCATTGCCAAAATTGCGATACAGAAACGGGTGCCTGTTCGTGGTGCGATACTGGATATAGAGGAGAAAATTGTGATTTTCGTAAGTCTTTATATTTATTAATTTAAAAAGAAATTGTTGAAATTTTAAATTTTGAAGACACCAAAGAATAAATTTACATATTAGAAGAAGCACAAAGTAAAATTTTAATCTGAAAAAATTTGGTTTCTTATATGTTTTTTTCAGTATTCCTATCTTAAAAATCATCTTCGTTAAAAAAGTAACAAAAATTTCACTTGATTTTGCTGCATTATATAATATATGTTTGCAAATGTTGAAAAACAATGCGTATACCTCGCGTGCATCAACTGGTAGCTGAACAACACGATGTGTTATCTGTCACATTTAATTTGCCAGTGATTTTGCCTTTTTAACATTTTCCCAACGTTATGTCTTGCATTTCCACGTTGAGTAGTTCTGAACATTGATTTTTTGTGCACAGTGACCAAGCGAGTTTTCATACTTTTCGGTCAAACGATCCAGATATCATAGTAAATTATGTTACATTGTGTCGTTTTTTTTTCTTTCAGTATACTTGAATAAAAACGATTCACTTTTCTATATTGATACCCCTACTTGAAAAGCGGTAGGGTATATAGTAATCGGGATGTCCATCTTTCCGTCTAGATGTACGTCTGTTCTTCCGTCCTTCTGTTACGCTTTGAGGTACCCATCTCTTATCCGCAACTTGTCTCATACCACTGAACGGACTTTGATGAAACTTTCACAGAATCTTTATTACGTATTGCCATTATGATCTCCTATTTTACTTTTTGATTCAACACATAATTTGTGTTTCCCATTGCAAAACATGGACACTGCCATTATATTCATTTGAATTTTAAAATCGCTTCCTATGTGGAAATGAAGTTCTTTGTATTTCCTGTTGTAATTACTTTAAAAGCTCAAGTTCATTTCATTTAATGCGAGTAAAATAAAATTATGTATGCTTCCGATCTGTACTGATTTATATGATCTAGGGAGGTTTAAGAAAGTACGATCCTCAGGTTTATGAAATTAACAGTTAAGCAATCAAAAATACTCATAAAAGTATCTCTGAATCCACAAAGTTATGTAAATTTATCCACAGTGTTTCTTTAAAGTTAAAAATTAAAGTTAATCATATTACATAGGCAGAGTTCTCAAATCTAAAATATTTTTTGCAGAAAAAGCGAATTGGAATATCAGCAATGCATTTTCTAATTGCAAATTGATCAACAAATATATTTTAGGATATAAAACGATAGGTATCCAGGCATTCAGAGAAATAGTCATGATTTTCATACTTATTTTGTGTTTTTTGTCTTCTATTTCCGTCATGTATTCTGTACTACACAGTGTAAAAGGCTTTTGCTATCATTGCAAGACACCACAAATCACTTCTTATTTCATATCATGCTAATAAGCTTTGGTATCTAAGGCTGGATTCAAGAAAATCTTATTTTTCTAAAACTTTATTAATTTTTTTTTCTTTTATAGGGTACAAATGTCAATTTTTATAAGACCTTTTCTATGACTTCCAAAAAATATTGA